GCCAAAGAGGCTGTTTTTCCTTCAACAGCCCTTAGAAAGAAACAACCCTATTGACACCTTGATTTTGGACTTCTAACCTGCAGAATAATGAGACAAGAAATTAATGCTCTTTAAAGCCATCCAGTCTGAGACACTTCATTATGGCAGCCCTAGCAAACTAATACACCACTGATTCAAAAAGTTCTGCAACCCCAAGCCAGGTAAATACAAAGAAGACCACATCTAGGCACATCATTGTATAACTACTGAAAAACAAAGAGAACATACTAATAGCAGCCAGAGAAAAAAAGACATATGAATACTTTATTCAAAGAAGCAACAAGACTAATGCCTGATTTCTCACTGAAATGAACACCTACAAGACAACAGATAGAATAATGTCTTTAAAATGTTAAAATGACCGCTAACCTAGAATTCTATACCCAGTGGAAAAAGACATTTCAAATAAGCATATTTAGAGAGTTTGCTACTATCTTATCTGTAGTAAAAAAAAAAAAAAAAAAAAATTAAAGAATATTCTTTAGCAGAGAGAAAATTATCCCAGGTGGAAGGTCAAAGATCCAGACATTAAGGCAGAGCAATATAAATAAGTCTAAATAAAATGTCTACACATATATATTAGGGCTGGCCCATGGCTCACTTGGGAGAATGTGGTGCTGATAAAACCAAGACCAAGGGTTTGGATCCCTATATAGGGAGGCTGGTAAGCTCACTTGGGAGAGTATGGTGCTGACAGCACCAAGTCAAGAGTTAAGATCCCCTTACTGGTCATCTTTAAAAAAAATAAATAATAATAAGTCTCTCTCTATATATAAATTAAAGTATACAACCGTAAAAACATTTAAGATATAAAGGTTGGATGGTGGATGCAGTTCCTTTGGTGATACCGCTAAGGAACTCAAAAGCAGCAGTAGCTAGGAAGCTAAAGATCTGAGCAGAGATTTCAGCATCTGCCCAGTGCTAGGGAGGTAAGAGTTTAGAGTTTATGTCTTGTTAAGCTATAGAGAAGCTACATTCAATATCTTCACTTTGTCTTAGGAGTAAGGACCATGTCCAGGACTAAGGGCTATATCCAAACAAACCCACACTAATAAAGTCTAAAACCAAGCCTTTACATTATAGTGATTTGCTGATATTTAAACGATTACCAGAAAAAAACTCAACACCTTTTAAAGAAAAATGACACTATTTACAATCTTCGCAATATTACCCAAAGTGTCCACTATAAAATAATTAGACATTCAAAGAGAATATACATATTAAAAATATTAAAATATCAAAAAAATTAAGGAAAAAACAGTCAACAAGAGTATACCTAGAGATGAGTTAGAAACATTAACAGACCAGGTCTTTAAAACAGTGATTTTAAGTATGTTGAAGAATTTATATGAAAAGATGAAGAATGGGTAAACAGATGGGAAATCTCAATTGAGAAAAGAAACTCTACAAAAGAACCATATGAAAATTCTAGAACTGAAAAATACAAAATCTGAAATAAAAAACTCACTGGATAGGTTTTCTTAAAATTAAGGCTCAGTGGGGCCGGCCCGGTGGCACACTTCTATAGTGCGCCGCTTGGGGAGTGCGGTGGCGCTCCCGCCGAGGGTTCGGATCCCACATACGGACCGGCCGTTCACTGGCTGAGCGAGGGGTGGGAGCAACACCGAGGGTTGCGATCCCGTGGCCGGTCCTGGTCCGGTACGGGCACGACACTGAGGGTTGCCATCCGTTGCCGGTCATAAAAAAAAAAAAAAAAATTAAGGCTCAGGGAGCCCCCACCAGGAAAAAAAAAAAAAAAAAAAGGCCACGGGGCCCCCAACAGGGAAAAAAAAAAAAAAAAAAAGGCCACGGGGCCCCCAACAGGGAAAAAAAAAAAAAAAAAAAGGCCACGGGGCCCCCAACAGGGAAAAAAAAAAAAAAAAAAAGGCCACGGGGCCCCCAACAGGGAAAAAAAAAAAAAAAAAAAGGCCACGGGGCCCCCAACAGGGAAAAAAAAAAAAAAAAAAAGGCCACGGGGCCCCCAACAGGGAAAAAAAAAAAAAAAAAAAGGCCACGGGGCCCCCAACAGGGAAAAAAAAAAAAAAAAAAAGGCCACGGGGCCCCCAACAGGGAAAAAAAAAAAAAAAAAAAGGCCACGGGGCCCCCAACAGGGAAAAAAAAAAAAAAAAAAAGGCCACGGGGCCCCCAACAGGGAAAAAAAAAAAAAAAAAAATTAAGGCTCAGGGAGCCCCAACCAGGATAAAAACAAAAAAAAAAAAAAAAAAATACATCTAGGCACAGTTGGCTTATTACAAGGGAGGACAGAATGAAATAACATATTTAGGTAATGAAAGAAAATTTTTTTCAACTTATTTATTTATTTTTTTTGGCAACTGGCCGGTCTGGGGATCCAAACCCTTGACCTTGGTGTCATCAGCACCATGCCCTCCCCCAAGTGAGCTAACTGGCCAACCCTCAACTTAGAATTCTATATCCAGAGAAAATATTTCTCAAAAATGAAGGTAAACTAAAACATTTTGAGATAAACAAAATCTGAGAAAGTCATCACCAGTAGTCCTGAAGTACAAGAAAAGCTGAAACATATATAAAAGATATAACAATAGCATAAAGACCCGTGGGAGAGGAAGGAAATGGAATTATACTATTGTACACTTACATTGCACATGAAGTGATATAATATGCTTTGAAAAGTTAGGGATGCACATTGTAATCCCTATAGCAACCACTAAGTGGGGAGGCGTGGAGAAGAGGAGCTGAAAGAATGGAGGGGGTGGGGTGGGAGAGGAAGGGAGAAAGCAAGCATGTGCATAGGAGCAAAAATAGGAGACAGATGGAATCTTAAAATTATTTGATTAATCAAAAACAAAAAACCCAAACCAAACAAAAACCCAGGAAAGTATCAACAAAGAAACAGGACAGATAACGCAAATAGAAAACAAATATCAAGATGGTAGACTCAAACCGAAACATATCAATAAATAGACCATGCACTTCAATTACAAGTCAAACATTGTCAGACTGAATTAAAAGATAACAATAAAACAAAAACAAGATCCAACTATATGCTATTTGCAAAAGACACACTTAAATGTAAAAAAACTTATGGAATGCAACTTAGAGGGAAATTTATTGTATTAAATGTATACATTTTAGAAAGGCTGAAAATCAATGATCTAAGACATCTTTAAACATAAGAACACAGAAAACTTCTCTCTCACAAATGCTTTTTTGAGAAATTACTTGAGAACACTCCAGCAAAACAGGTGAGAAAACCAAGAAAATAAGACATGGAATCTGGAAGACAGAGGACTTAATGCAGAACAATCCAAAACAGAAGCAGGGAGATGGAAGTTCAGGTAGGGAGATCTCTGGGAAGAGCAGGGATTCAGAATAGCTGATGTTCGAGAATTTTTAAAATTCTAGGAAAAAACCAAAAACCTTTAGTATAACCATTGTTACCACAAGACCTTGCAGTGAACAATGTTTATATTTACATTAATTTTTTCAAATTCATTTTCAATCTTTAGAGCAAGGAAGTAAGAAGAATTAATTATGATTACAGAATGGAATGTAAATACTATCAACTTTTTTTTTTTTTTTTGTCTTTTTTGTGATAGGTAAGGGGACGCAACCCTTGGCTTGGTGTCGTCTGCACCGCGCTCAGCCAGTGAGCGCACCGGCCATCCCTATATAGGATCTGAACCCGCGGCGGGAGCGTCACTGTGCTCCCAGCGCTGCACTTTCCCGAGTGCGCCACGGGGCTGGCCCAATATTATCAACTTTGACAATGCAAAAGTAAAATACAGGTTGGCTGGTTAGCTCAGTTGGTTACAGTGTGCTGCTATAACACCAAGGTCAAGGGTTCAGATCCCCATACCGGCCAGTCATAAAAAAAAAAAAAAAAAAAAAAAAGAAAAAAAAAAAAGTGTAGTCGACTGAAGCTGCGAAATTGAAGAGATAAATGAAAAATAATGGGAAAGAATAAGGATGTTCATATCCAAATTTTACGAAGTGGGGAGTCTAGAGATAATGGTGAAAAGACAGTATATATATATAGTACTTCAATTTACAAAGGTAATCAACAGATTTTAAATGGTTATACAATATCGGGAGAAGTTCACCTATAAACTAAAGAGTATAAACTAAATCCACATTTGTCATACCAAGAAGTTAACTGATATTTCTAAAATAGGATGAATCAAGAAAGAACAATATGGGCAAATTATTTACAAATATGAAAGTAAATGCCAGAAAAAGAAAGCTAAATGAGTTAAAAGAGATTGCATCTAGGAAGTGGGACTGAGACCTATAGTACCATATGCTTTTATGACTATACAGAGTGATTAAAACTTTTTTTTTAAGATGACCGTAAGGGGACCTTAACCCTTGACTTGGTGTTGTCAGCAGCATGCTCTCCCAAGTGAGCTAACCGGCCATCCCTATATAGGGATCCGAACCCATGGACTTGGTGTTATCAGCACCACACTCTCCCAAGTGAGCCATGTGCCGGCCCAAAACTTAAAAAAAAAAAATTAAAAAACAGATTCTTTCAGAGTCCACTGGACAAATGCTCACTTATCACCTACTTCCCCTTCTGGTGGAGGCAGAAAGAAAGAGGGTTCTTAATTCAGCCAATTTACATGGCATTTTAGTTAACAAGATGTTTTCATACTGTTTTTGTTTTTTGTCTTTTTTTAAAAAAGTATATATACTTCTGCCCAGTTTTATATCCTGTAACAGTAACTTAGCACAGTCCCCCTGAAATGTTAACACATTAGGTCTTAGTAAAGTATAATGATTAGGATATGTATGAGCTTTACTGTCAGAAAGACTCAAGTCTTAACCTAGACTACATCACTTACTAGCTATATTATTGTCTTGAATATGTTTATCAACCCTCTTCAAAAGTAATTTCTTCCTAATAGAGTTAGATAACATACATAAATAGTCTCTGACATATGGTAAGTATTCAATATAAGATAGCTTTAATTACTACTTACGTTGGCCACAACTTTTACTTCTTTGTACTGTGCTTCATAGAAAACTCCAGCATTTTCCAGTGCTTCTGTTAATGAGGGCCCGTTTTTCACCTGCTTATCTAATCCATTCACAAATTCCTCTAGCTTGGAGCTTGCCTCTTCAAATTCTTTGGAGAACTTCTTTCCACCTGTTTTATCTAAAATAAGAGAAAAAGAATTCATTTCAGCATTAAAAAAAAAAAGTTAAAAATTCAATCTTTGGAAATAACTCCTCTCTGTGAACCTGTTCTTGCTGCCTTAGTGTATAATATTCTTAGTCTCATAGTTTTATCTTTTTTTTTAAAAAAAGATGACTGGTAAGGGGATCTTAACCCTTGACTTGGTGTTGTAAGCACCACGCTCTCCACAGTGAGCAAACCAGCCATCCCTACATAGGGATCCGAACCTGTGGCCTTGGTGTTATCAGCACCACACTCTCCCAAGTAAGACATGGGCCAGCCCCTCATAGTTTTATCCTAAAAAAGCTTCTCCAAATCACAAAACCACAAAACAGATTATTAAAATTCTTCACAAAAGAGATCCATGCTGGAGTGAAGCAAGAGTAAAGGCACTTATAAGTAATGTAAAGAAAAGAAAGTTCAACAAAGTTTGTTGATTACATCTTTTCTTTACAAATTTGATGCCACATTGCAACTTAGGAATAACAGAATGAGGATCAATTCTGTTCACTTATACCATAACTTTTGCATTGCAGAAGGTAATAAGATAAATCTCTTAGTAAACTAAGATTCAGAAAAGTAAAGTGACCTCTGTGTGTATATCACACTAAAAATTATTCTTTCCTATGTGAAAAAGATCCTTGATAATTTGATAAATATACTTCTTTCCCAGTGACTTCTAGAATATGGCTTTGGATATGGGTATAAATTTTGGCTTTGCCTTTTATGAGCTGTATAACTTGGGCAAGCTACTCATCTCCTTATGAAGCCTCAGATTTCTCATGTATAAAATAGAATTTTTTAGTATGCTTCTGGGTGTTGTTCACTTTTCCTCAGTCAGGGATATCAATGATCAATTCTCACTTCAAAACCACATTTTCAGTTATATACTTAAAAAGATCTTTTCCCTTAATTATTCAAAGCTAACTTATAAATACAAGGTTAAAACAGACAAAGGTCCATTTATATTTTAATTTTGGATAGATAAATTTTCGTTTAGCAGAGCTTCATAGAAAGATGAACCCCTTGTTGGCATAAATTCAATACAGAACTCAGCTGGTAATACATATTGTGGAAGAAGGTTATTTCTTTCAGTAGAGGAACATATAAAACGACAAGCAATCTAATGCCAATCTGAATTCCTTGAGAACAATTCAAGCATGTTTAAAACCTAACTGACATACAATTAGATAAATACAAATCTTGCTGAACTATACAGGTAACTGTAACACAAAAGGGGTGAACAATGCTTTGCTATATTAAACATATTCTACAACTTACTCGAAATTCAGCAACTATCTTAGACTTGAGAGCAGCTTTTGGATTTGTGGATGCTGTTGGAATTAAACAGAAGGTCATTAAGAATATAGACACAAAGTATTGACTAATAGGAAAAATTCTAGCTCTACACTTAAGGGTATACTCTTTGAACATATGGCAAACATGAACATTTAAATCATAATATAATTCTTAGAATAAATAATGAACTATGAAATTTAAATACTCCCAAGCATGGTCAATATAAAAGAATTTAGATAGGCCTACACTACTTACCTCCAACAGACCCCTGAAGTCATAACATCCTAGAATTACTGATTTGGAGATACTGAGATACATAAAATACATTCTTTTCTTAGTCTAAGAGGACCTCAATACCTCAAATTAAGAGTGTTCAGGAACAGGACATCCCATTAATCCTGAGCACTGGCTGAAGAAAATTATTTACAAATGTCAACTCTATTCCTATGTATTTAGCTTTGGACTTCTTTTCTGCTGACTTGATTCACAGCAAAAATTGATAAGGAAAGCTCTAAGTACATTACCAACATGACTGAACGTTGGCTGAAATGATGACTCTTCTTGTTCTTAAGCATGCAACTCTGACCAAAAGGATATCAGAGAGCTCCCTTCATCATGATGAATGTCATATGTTCACTGGAGCAAAACCATCCCAAGTGTCTTGTTGCACCTCCCAATTCTCACTGTCTTTTACCTTGTTCCCTCCACACCTTCAAGTCTCTCTCAATATTCCTTAGTTTGCCCACAGCAGCCTATCACATGCAGTATTCCACTCCCTTGATCTCATGCTGGGTAAATATGATAAACATAACAGGAGCTCCAGTTAGAGATTGAGCTTCTGGCCAGGATTTGAGGCCCTTTTCTAATTTGGTAGAATGTATCCCCAAATCTGAAGGATTTCATGACTCCCACAGAAATGCTTCTTAATGCCTAGTCTCCTCTTCAGCTCTGTTGTTTAATGTCGGCTGCCTCTAACTTCATACATCTTTGAACCTGAGAATTAGCCTGGGCATTATCAAATATTTTTTTTCTTCTTTCAATCCCCCAACTACTCTTGAATCTTCACTTAATTAAACCCCTTTTCTGCATTTCCTTTGTTTAAAAGTGGGTTTTTAGTAGTAACTCCATGATGGCTTGTTTAGTGTAAGTCACTGGGAGCCTCCCAGGCCTGGAAAACTCAGGCTTGCCCATGGTTTATGCCAGGTACGATGTCAAATGGTCTACATTTTTCTTCTGCTCCAAAAAGAGGAGGTAATTTTATATTAGTTGAGATTTTGTTCCTTACTTTGTGATTTCTTCCACTGCTTATTCGGTTGTTTGTTCAGATTTTCTTTCAGCTGCTTCTGAGTTTTGAAAGTGGTACCTGGAAAACATTTCAGTTTTTGCAATCTGGCATTATGGGAAGCTGTTCTGTCTGTCCACTTCAGTGCCAAAGTTGTAGCATGAAAAATGGCAATCCGAGACTGTGTGATGTTTCTTTCTTTCCTTTTCTTTCATTTTTATAAAAAAATTGAAACACCCACCAGATCTAAGAAGCTGTCAAATAAACATGATTTCTATAATCAATGAAATTACCACTTCTAAAAAGAATAGGGCAGGAGGCTTTAAAATACCAGTTAACAAATTCAAATGAAGAATTTAACAGCTTCTTAGAAATATGCTATTTTTAAAGCAAATTTCTATTCCATTGATGATCATGGTAGCAGTTTGTCACTATCTTCTATTCAATGACTTAATTGCATGCATCTAATACATAAGAACAAAATTACTTTAAAAAAAAAAAAGTACATAACTTACTGCAAATCTAGATCAAAAGAGAGCCTGAAGGCTGCCAGTATATGCTTACTACCAAATATTTAATGAGAACTGAAACCCTGTCTAAAAATCCTCCAGTGGTAAAAGGACAGGGCAGTTATTTATTAAACACAAACAATGAATAGTTTGAAACTCAATTAAAGCAAATTATAGGAAAATAATCAGATGACTATCATCACTTAACATGCTTGACATTTTTTAGTCAATAAAGACAAAATCTAACCCCTTGCCCCCAAAACCAATTCTACTTAAATTTTAATTCAAACAGATCTAGACTTTTACAAGTATTTAATTTTAAACAAAAACAACCAGATCTAAAACTTTATTTTTCATTATTATGCAACAGGACCAGATCCATAAAATAAAATATATGTAATTGTAAAGACTGCATCAAAGTTTTCTTTTAGGAGAGAAAAGACACTTACTTAAAGCTTCTCTCAATGCCACAATCATTTCTTCTGGGTACACATTTCTATCTTCCCAGATTTTAAAGATTCGTTCAACAGACTTAGAGACAGATGGATCCCTGAGAAGAAAAAGGAAGACAGAATATAAAAAAAGTTGACTTACATCCCAAACTAGAAATCTCAAAATAAGGTTGTCATCAAAATTATTTTCCAAATTTCTTCTGATGTTTATTTTTAAACAATTCTTTCTACAGTATCCTGGACTCAGGAACTCTTAACCACTTATTTAACACTTTTATCAATGACATAGAGACAGCTACGGGTGACATACTGAACTTTTTGATGACTATAAAGATGAGAGGGCTGGTCAATATGCTGACACAACTGGCATTCCAAAAGATAGGTTGAATCAAACAGATAAAATCTAATAAAAAAGAACCTGATCTGAAAAAAACAACTGCACTACTACAGGATGAGAAGACAAAGTTTAGCAATGCCATGGTTTTTTTCCTTGTGTTTTTTAAAGGTTTATTCAAAAATAATCATGGATCAATCATGTACTGTAACATGTTTTCTAAAAAACTATCACGTAATACTCTAAGAATATAAATCTAGAATGAGGGAGGTAAAGGATATTACTTTATTATGACTGGTTCACAGATGAACTTCTAAGTTCAGGTTGGCTATATTACTTCAAAAGGAAAATTGTTAAAGCAGAAGTGACTGAGAAACAATTACCAGGAGGTCAAGATTTAAATTATGTCTTATGTGGAATTGTAGAAGAAATAGAAAAAACAACACAGGGAGGGCACAACTGCTGTAAAGAGGAATCAGTACGGTGTGATCCCAGAAGGCAAAATAAGGAAAAAGGAATGAAGTTACAGGGAAAGAAATTTCATTCTAACAGATCTGCCAAAGAACAGAGAACATTCTACATTCTAACAGTTCTGTTAAAAGACAACACAGGAACCTAACCTTTCCTTAAGAGAATCCACCAAACCCATAATGAGACTGAAGTATAAGATAAACTAAGCTATATCAACCTTATGGCCTCTTCCAAACATGAGAGTCTATGAATCCATAATGTGTTCACGAAGAATTTTTTTTTTTGCCTAAGAATGGCATCTATAGGAAACAGAAAATTGTCATAAAAAAACTTTGTATTGAATCTCTAGAAAATGCAATGGACGATTCTATTCTCGTTTCTTTATTTTTTTATGCTGAGACTTTTTTTTTTCATTATAAAAGAAATACATATCTGATGTAGAACACTGAAAAAGTTATGAGGGCTGGCCAGGTAGCTCAGTTGGTTATAGCAGTGGTGTTACAACACAAAGGTCAAAGGTTCAGATCCCCGTATCAGTTAGCTGCCAAAAAAAGTTATGGAAAAGCATAAAGAAAAACTCCGTTTACCTTCACCAAATGGAGATTTACAAGAAAAGGTCTCATATATTTCCTATAAAAGCTGTTCTTGGATATTTCAGATATTTTATTGCTAGTATGACTCACTATCCTTCTTACTGCCAACTGCCCAGAGTAAAACTGATTCAGAAGTTTGTTGATGGTAAATTATCTCAAGTTTTGTTTTGTCATTTTCAAACCAGACTATTTATTATAAAGTCCTAGTAGTCATTCACCAATGTTCTCAAGTAAAATAGGCTAAAAACCAGCAATTGATATCTCCTTTCTGGTGCAACAACAGAAGATTCAAATTTTTGAATTTTAGGTTTTGCTATCATACTAGTTTAAAAATATTAAGGAAAAGATCTTTGACTTGGCTTATGCACCTTCACAGCAGCTTCTCTCCCTTTGTTGATCATCAGTACATGAATTCCCTACCCACATGGACAAAATTTATAGAAAAATTCATCATAATACTGTGGGAGAAAAAAGCATGAGTGACAGAACAGACAGCAACCAATAACAATTCAATGCTGAAAATGTAGCCTTGGTATCTTGAGGATAATAATACTGCTATAGTTGGACAGCTTAAAACGTGACTTTAGGAGTTTAGAAGTGAGGTATTAATTTAGTACAAACCCACTAAGAAAATGTACAAATAAATCTAGGGTATGATTTAGTAAAAATAGCACTAGATGGGAGAACTAAAGGTTTTAGTCCTGGCCTTAGGAAGAAGTGTTTTATTTTTTTATTTAAAAAAATTTTTTATAAAGATGACCAGTAAGGGGATCTTAACCCTTGACTTGGTGTTGTCAGCACCACGTTCTCCCAAGTAAGCTAACTGGCCATCCCCATACAGGGATCTGAACCTGGGGCTTTGGTATTATTAGCACCACACTCTCACCGAAGTGAGCCACAGGCCGGCCCTAGGAAGAAGTGTTTTAGAGGCTAGGCTTTCTCATTGTAAAATGATTTTTACTAGATAATTTCTGTCAGCTCCAAAAAACTTAACTAGGGGCTGGCTGGTTAGCTCGGTTAAAGGAAGGTGTTAATAACCAAGGTCAAGGATTCAGATCCCCGTACCAGCCAGCCACCAAAAAACTCCCACAACAACCCAAAATTCTTAACTAGATTTATTCCTTATTTACAGAAGCAAAGACCTCCTAAACTCCTACAGTTCAACCATCTCTTGTATTTAGAAATTCTCCCAAAATAAAACCAAACCAAAACCCAGAACAGCAGTTTTATTTACTTTGTGATCCTAGCCCTCTATTTAAGCCACTACTGATCACAATCTCAATTTCTACAGAATTTAGTCATTACCACAGAGAACATAAATTATAAACTTTTGTTGTTTTATTTATAAGTAAAAGAAAAAGAAAATTGGCTGGCCCTGCAGAATTGCTAGGATGTTCAACAGATGCTTCTTTTGCTAGTCCCATCCTCCCCCAACCTTTAAAACAGCAAGGTACTAACAAATTATTTCAAAGCACAAAGCTGATGAACAGTACAAGAGCAGGTGCCCAGGTGTCAGTTAAAATAAACACAACTAGGGCTGGCCAGTTAGCTCAGTCAGTTAGAGCGTGGTGCTGATAACACTAAAGTCTAGGGTTCGATCCCTACCAGCTAGCTTCCAAAAACAAACAAACAAATAAATAAAATAAAAATAAATAGAACTAAACAGCATTATCTTGTACTTCACTCATGAGAGTATCTTTCCTTTTTCAATACCTCCTTACTGAGACATTATCAGAATGGGCTACATATTACAGATTCTTAGTAGATATTTGCTAAATATCTGAATGGAAGACTAAATAATGGGTCAACTCAAAGGAGAGGCAGTCAATACGTTTTAACCAAAAACCTTGAGCTCAGAAATAGTAGATGGAGATAGATTTTCTCTCACTATAAAGACTTGAAAACTTGCTACTCTCTATCTCCTAAAATAATCCCCATTTACACAACATATCTTTCTTGTCTATGACAAATATCTTCCTCAGTGTGTCACTTGTCTTTAATATCATTGTGTTTTCTGTAATGCAGTTTAATCTTGATGTAATCAAACTGATATTTTTTTTTATTATCTGTTTTGTGTCTTAAGAGCCTTTTATTCCCTATAATCATAAAAAGATTCTTATTTCCTCCATTAAAAACATTTATATGCCAAGGTAATTCATTTGTAATATATTTCTGTGTATGGTATAGTACAGGAAAATATTTTATTTTTTTCTACATGGAAAGCATTATATCCCAGAATCTCTTATTGAAGAGTTCATCTTTCCCCCAATGTTTTATAATGCAACTTCTATTTACAAAGGTCCCACATATGTAAGGGTCCATTCTGGGATCTATGTTTTATTAAGTCTCTTTGTCTATCTTTGTACCAATATCACACTCTTTTAATGACTAGGGACCATAGTGCCATGGTCTGAACGTTTTCCCCCCAAATTCATATGTAGAAATTTTAACCCCCAAAGTGAAAGCATTAGGAGGTAAGGGCTTTGAGAGGTGATTAGTGCCCTTACAAAGGAGACTCCAGAGATCTTGTTTGCCCCTTCCACAACGTGAGGTTACAGTGAGAAGATGGCTAGCTTTCTATGAGAAAGCGGGCCTTCACCAGACACTGAATCTGCTGGTGTCTTGATCCTGGACTTTCCAGCCTCCAGAACTGTGAGAAATAAATTTCTGGGGCCGGCCCGTGGCTCACTCGGGAGAGTGCAGTGCTGATAACACCAAGGCCCCGGGTTCGGATCCCACATAGGGATGGCCGGTTCGCTCACTGGGTGAGCGTGGTGCTGACAACACCAAGTCAAGGGTTAAGATCCCCTTACCGGTCATCTTTTAAAAAAAAAAAAAAGAAAAAGAAAAAAAAGAAAAAAAAGAAATAAATTTCTGTTCTTTATAATTTATCTAGTCTTGGGTATTTTGTTATAGCAGCACAAATGAACTATGACACTGAGAATTTTTTCCCTATATATTTAGCTGGTTATTTCTGATGTACTGAAATGCTATGGATTCCCATGTGTTGATTTCTACCCAGAAACCTTGCTAAATCCTTTTTAGTCTGTAAAATTGCAAAGTCTCCATACATCTCCTTCCCCCCATTTTTAATTGCATTGATTATGGTATCACATTTTATAGTACTTCAACTACTGTAAAATAGAATTTACAAATTAAATACAAATAAAATCAATACCATTCATATTAACATTAATTTGAAATGATAAATGATATTTAGTTGAAACCAGTTGCAACATGAACACGATACTGAATGCACAGTTTTTAATTCAGCAAGCCTATACTATTATATGACAATGTGATTTTTTCACCATTTTTCTCTATTTGAACCACTGTAAAAGCTTATTTCATTGCATGTAATATTATCTCATGCCAAAATGCAATCACAAACACATGTCAACAAAGCCAGTAAAAATGAGTCACAGAACTGTTATAATAGTACAGAGGATACTAAATATGCTTACAATTATTTTAAAATTATTATAAAGTAAAATTTAAGAATTTCTCATAGACAATTCTTAAGATCTTTTAAACTACATCCATGTACCTTCCCAGAACACCTCAGCTTGTATTTAAGAAACACTGCTTTGTAGCATTCCATGGTATTTCCATCCATCCATCATCCATTTTACAAACATTACTAACCAAAGTGGCAGACTATGCACTGTGCTGGGAGCAGAGCTCAAAGTCTGGGGATAGA